CCCCAACCCCTGTTGGACATCAGAACAAATTGCTCCTGTGCTCAGGGAATGCACGCACTGGGAGAAGCTAGGCCTCCAAGTAGCAGATCGTTGCCGAATATTATCAAACATCGAAAGTGGGTGAGACAATTGAGACTGGCAACGAAGTCGGTAGTATCTTCACATTGGCCCCAGGCCCTGTGAAGGCACGGCCAGACACAGACAGCCCACCTCCCTGCACCCCTCACCAACCTCTCCACCAACGGGAAAATTATTCAGGGGCCACCAACTCCTGTTAGACATCAGAAATAATTTGTGTTTGGTGTGACGATCCTTGTGAATCTCAGAACTGATCTTGGCGCTCTTTAAGGCCTACAACCGAATTCAATCCTGCCGGTCCGTCCAATCGAAGTGTCCACTTGAAAGAAAGAAAGATAGGATCAGCTCCAAGCCTCTCCTGTTTTAGAAGGCCATAACTCTCACTTCCTGCCCTATAGGATCGGCTCCAAACATTTCCTGCTTGAGGAGGCCATGACCCCCCCGAATTCTAAGCATAGCCAAGCATATGAGCTGTATGCATTACATCAATTATTCCACTGTGTGGGATACACCAGGAATAATTTACACGCATGTATGTGCATGACCCTGGAATAATAAGAAAATTATTCCAGGGTACCACCCACATGGTCCACGCACACGGGAGGACCCATAAAAAAATGAAGTAAAATGCCACCGGAGGCTGCCGACGAGGTCCATGTTCTGCATGTTCTGTACACGTGTTGGAATTGGAGGGAGGTAGAAAAGGAATTCAGTCGCGATGGATGAAACAGCCACACAGCCGACCAGGTTGGTAGTTTTCTTATTCGTTTTTGTTTACAAATATGTTCATATTGTTTGCAAGAAGGGCGGAATTGAAGCTGCAACCAATGCCTGAGTTTGCCGGCTTGTCTCATTCGTCTCCAATGTCCCTCCTCAACTTAATCGATAGGTGTTTCATTCACTTCGAGATTGACTCGTGTCCACCATCCCAAAAACACATACTGTACCTCCCCGTCCACGCCGTGCCGTGCCTAATTCTCACTCACCCATGGCGAAGTGGGCGCCACCCGTGCTGGCACGGCCTTGGGTCCACATCCGGAACGTGTCCTGGCGGATCGCGGGTGGAGTGCCACGGGGCGACCTGGGCCAGGCCGGGCGACCCGCCGCGTGGAGCGGTTCATGGCGGTTCATGGCGGCTGGAGCGGTTCTGGTCGAACGGTGCCAGTCTGAGTGGAAGTCCGGTGATCCCGGACTTGGTTCGTGTTCGGGTACACCAGTGTGGGCCCTTGGAAAGGGTGGTCCAGGAGAGAGGAGTCGATGGAACGTTTTTGGGGGAAGAGGAGGTTCCTTGAACGTTTGACCCGATTCGTTTAGTTCTACGTTTTTGGGAAAGGGGACCATTAAACACTCTACGGTCTACGTTTTGGGCATAGGGCATTGTAGGTCATGCTTGGCCACATGGTGTTCTTTCGTAGCTTGTCTTCCCTATCTGTTGACCACCAACGACCTAAATTCCGCCCAGACGGATGAAGAAGCACTTGGTCCGTCCGAGGCAACGGATGTGCATCACCAGCCCTCGTGGTTGAGCCAAAGCCATTTGCAGCGCCTTGGCGGAGAGAAAGGGTGCAAGGTGAAAGCAAGGCGAAACGGGAGATCACTCCCCAGGCGATGCCAGGTGGCATCGCGCCTCCAATCGTAGGAACAAGCAGAAGCTCTCAGAATGAGTTTCTATTCTATAGATGAAAAACCTACCAGGAAATCCATAGTTTGGGGGTTGAAAGCCCCGGGGTTCAAGTGGATTTTTCCTTGAAACCCATCCCTTTCTGTCGTCCTTGTATGTTGGAGGTTCACGGAGAAGCTCTTCAGCAAGGGCATCAAGACGCACCAAATCTTGGTAGCACAGACCCTCCACAAGATGACGGGGTGCGCCCGGCGTAGCCGGGTGATCCGAGGGGAAGTGCATGGAAACGACAGGCCGTTGAGAGTCAGACAATTAAGAGCAATGTTCATGATCCAATGATATGCACACATATAAATTACCTATATGTACTATATTATAGTATACTATATTAATATATGTGATACAAGTGATATGCATTAAAACCTATCGCATGACGCACCTCGCGTTTGGGGGCTTTGGGGGCTTTGGAGACTTCCAAGCATCTTCCAGTTCCTCTCTTTGGCAGAACTTCTCCCACCCTCGTGGCCAATGCGGCACGGCCAGGACGGTGCCGCAGGTGGCCTTCGTTGGGCGCTCCAACGTGGGGAAGTCCACACTACTGACGCTCGGACCGGTGACCGGTGACTGGTGACTCCGGTGGACTGGCGTCCATCAAATGTGAAGCCATGAGGAAGTCGGGTTCGCATGAACACCAGAAGAAATCCCTCAGCTAGAAACGTCCCCAAGAAGAACTGAGCTCGAGTGAGGTTGCACACTTCATGTATAGATGACACGTCATGTATAGTTGATGTCTAGGAGCACTTATCCAAGACTGGAATTGTCATGTAAAGACTTGCATCATCGGTAATCGGCTTTGCCGTTGCACTGTGGACGCCAACCTGATTTGGCTCAAGAACTTGAAGAAAAGGTGCCAGGGCCGTGAATGTCGTTCGAGACCGTATCGACCGCTGCCTTTGCATAAGAAAGTCAGGTTCCAGAGTTTATCTGGTTATCAGCCGCAGAGAGGCTACGAGACCACACACACGTAGAGTGAGACAAGCTTGTCAAACGAAACATCGGCATTGTGTTGAAACTTCTTTCGAACACTTGTTGCCTCGCGCTTTCGGGCGCGATCCATGCCACCGCGAGAACGATCGCGGCGTCGACGTGGCCCACGGGGTGGTGACCCGAATAGGCCAAGCCAGCAGTCCCGTCGGGAGCGTGGACTCCCCACAGAGGACAGACAGAGAGAGCCAGAGAGAAGCACCCGGCATCGTGAACGACGTGGTGAGCGTGAGCGTGAGTCGGGGCGTGAGCGTGGTCGCGACAGCAGGTCGCGTGTCAGGGAGGTTTATCGGGCGCAGAGCCCGAGGCAGCCCAGGTTCCCTCCGCCTGGAGTCGTCGAGACCTGGGAGACCAGGCGGTTGCCCAGGGCTGTATCCGATTCTGAAGAGTCGGTGGCTGAGGAACGTTCTCGTGATCGGAGACGCCGGTCGCAGACGCCAAGTGAGCATACAGAGAGATCCCGGTCGAGGCCTCGTGGTCGGTGGCAAAAGTGCTGGGTGTGGGTTCCCGAAGGTGGATTGAGCCCTGTGCGTGACGACAGCAGGGAGCAAGAGGTAGGTTCTCAGGACGACGAGATCCCGGAGGAGGAAGTGGAGCTTGAAGGTGAAAGTGTTGACACGGTGACAGGTGAGCCTCGTGAGACTCGTCGAACAGCAGTCGGTGACATTGCTCCTGAGGTTCCCGGCGCTTCGCCGGAAGCGGCATCAGGTGTTGACTTTTCGGCGACCGAGGATTCGATCGCGAGACAAGCGACAGAGGAAGCAACAGAACATTCAGTGTCGCTTGAGCCAGAGAGCATTCAGGAGCAAGGACGCTACTAGGGGCTCCTCGCATCGCTACCAGGAGCAAGGACGCTACTAGGGGCTCCTGGCATCACTACTAGGAGCAAGGACGCTACTAGGGGCTCCTGGCAGCGCTACTAGGAGCAAGGACGGGGCTCCTTGCATCGCTACTATGAGCAAGGACGCTACTAGGGGCTCCTGGCATCGCTACTGGGAGCAAGGACGCTACTATAGGGGCTCCTGGCATCGCTACTAGGAGCAAGGACACTACGATAAGCAAGGACACTACTAGGGGCTCCTGGCATCGCTACTGGGAGCAAGGACGCTACTATAGGGGCTCCTGGCATCGCTACTAGGAGCAAGGACGCTACGAGGGGCTCCTTGCTATAGGAGCATTCTTGCTCCTAGTGGCGATGCCAGGAGCCCCTAGTAGCGTCTTGCAAGGAGCCCCTAGTAGCGCCCCTAGTAGCGTCCTTGCTCATAGTAGCGATGCCAGGAGCCCCTAGTAGCGTCCTTGCTCCTAGTAGCGATGCCAGGAGCCCCCAGCAGCGTCCTTGCTCATAGTAGCGATGCAAGGAGCCCCTATAGCAGCGTCCTTGCTCCTAGTAGCGATGCAAGGAGCCCCTAGTAGCGTCCTTGCTCCTATAGCAAGGAGCCCCTAGAAGGCACGAGAGCTTCGATCCAGATCGGCCCGCCCTACTGCTAGCAAGCCGTCGCCGTCGATCAGTGAAGATCCAGTTGAAGTGAAGCCTCCCGTTGAGAAGAGAGTCAAGCCTCCGCCTCAGGCTACGTCAGCCAAGGCGAAGACCAGGAGAGAGCAGGTCGAAGCCAGTGACGTTGGGCGTGAAGAGTCGGCAGTTGGTGCATTGCGTCGTGCCATTGGTCGTGATTCATCGCGCCAGCGCGAGGTCCGGTGCCGACGAAGGAAGAGATTGAGCAGACAGAAGCTGCTCGAAAGCGTGAGTTGGAGAGCCTACCACCTCCACCGCCGGTGCCCCGTGAACCGCCCGTTCCTGTGACCATCAGGCCCGCAGCCAAGCCGAAGTTGACCGAGGAGATTCAGCCTGTTGTTCTTGCCCCAAGGCCGAAGGAGAGGCCGCAACCGTCCGGAGAGCCGTCGCCGTCTACTAGGCCTCCTGAGCCAATCGGGGCACCGCCTCCGGCTTGGCAAGACAAACCACTAGTGTTGCTGGACTTCCACAAGACCCTGAGTTTCCCGAACCACGACCCGCCGGTTGCAGAGGCGACCGTACAGACCTTGAGGACAGTCAAAGAGAAGGGATTCTCTATCGGCATTCTCAGTTTCGCCTCAAACAAGGCTACTCAGGAAGGCGTTGCAGCTGGTGTCGCGGAACTTGAGCGTCCACTTGGTTGGTCTTTTGACATTGTCGCGATTACGCGAACCAAGTTTTCCACGGACACCGAGCAGGGAGCGTCGATTACCGGGCACATCGGAAGCAAGGCGAAGTTGGTCGCACAGTTTGGCCCGATCGTTTACGTTGACGACCAAGGCTCATTGTTGAACGACGTGCGCGCCCTCCAGCAGAACGTGCCGATCGGACACAAGACTCACTGCATTCGTGCTGCATCGTATCCGAGTGAAGCCTTGGTCCCACTTGAGAGAACGCTCAGGACCTTTCCAAGGACCAGCGAACTGCCCACAGCCAGAGAACTGGGCAGGATTTTCGGGACCAGGTGAGGCCGAGCAGGACGACCAGTGTGGGTGTACATTGGTCGAGAGTGGGCATTGTTGCATTGGTCGATAAACCCGTCTGCAAAAGGCTACGTGTCGGGTTGAGGCTGGTACTACATTGCTGTTGGACGTTGCGACATTGGTCGATAAATCCGTCTGCAAAGGCTACGTGTCGGGTTGAGGCCATTGCTGCATCATTGAGGGATCTTGTGTGGTCAGACATTGGTTGAGCTGAGGACTCTTTCATTGGTTGGTGGTGGAACATTGTTTCTTGTCGTCGGCCAGAGTTCGTGCTACCTTCGCGTTTGGCTCGCGTCTTCGCGACCGACGCGACTCGTCGTCGCTTGTTGGCGATCCACTGCCCGAAAATCGCAGCTTTCAGCGCGTGGCAATAAACTCCGCGACAAGCGTCGCGTGCCGGCAGTGAAAAGAGGAGGTGGTGCTGCTCAGTGTGTCGAGACAGTGTTGATTGTTGGATTGAGCATTTGTGAACAAACGTTTTGTAGTTAGTTGAGGGTCCTTCAACAGAGTCGGGTCGAGCTTTGAGTGTGTTGAGATTGAGTTGACAGATTGAGTTGAGAGTCGTTGCTTTGCACCGGATAGTCGATGTCAAAACGGTCGCTTCCTGCAACACCCTTTCGTGTCATCGGTCCTGAAGGCTCCTACGAGACCTCGAGTTCATCCATTTCTCCGGAGACTGGGCTTGCGAGGATGGAGGGTGATTTGGGAACTGGTGGAGGAACCGGGCTCCAAGTGAGCGTGCCGGCCAAGGGAAACACAAAGGTTGCAGTGAGTCGTACACGAACTCAGAGTTCCGAACCTTCCCAACCTTCTGGGGTACAAGGTGATCCATCGACTGTTCCTGGGGTGCATGTTTATGATCAGAGAACCCTCAACCACCTACAAGTACTCAACCAGCACAACATCGATCCAGAGACTCTTGAGAGAATTGTTCAGGGTTACGTTCAATCGCAGTTGAACCATGCAGAACAGGTGATACAGCATGAACGACAACAACATCAACTTGAGCAGCAAAATGCAGCACTACAGTTGAGCCTTGAACATCAACAGATGAACCAACACATACAACAACAAGAAGCCAACATGGCACAACAAGCACACAGCAGAATCAACCAGATCACAACAGAGGCACAAGCAGAAATACTCAAGCATCAGCAGATAGCAGAACAAGCACAACGCGAGATACAACGCGTGACAGCTGCAGCAGAAGCTAGGTGTCAAGACCTTGCACGAGAGAACTAGTCTTGAAGAGCCCGAGAATGGTACGGACCCTTTTGAACCATCTTCTCATGAAAGATATATGTACCCAGTGCCTACGCGACCCTCTAGTGTTGCGACCATCAGGGAGCCAGTCAACATGCAAAGGAACATTGCGTCGCATGAAGGACCATCCCATGCAGAAGTTCCTCTTCCTCGAGCCCCTGGCGGTCCGGGACCGTATGGCACGCCGTGTGGTGCATTGCATGATGGTTCACATGTTCATCATCTTGGTGTTGATCCCAGGTTGGTCTATGGAATGTCGACCCCAAAGGCTGTTTCAGAGTCAGGGAGTGCTCCTGTTCCTGGTGTAGGATTTCAACGGGCCGTTCCGGCCATGCCATCGTTCCCAAGAGCCGTTCCGGCCATGCCATCGTTCCCAAGAGCTTCAATGGGACCGGCTTACCCACCAGGGGGGTACATCGGCACTATTCCAGAAGCACCTCCAGGTGTATCATCATCAAGTCACCCACCAAACATCTCTATTGCGACACCTCGCAAGAAGGAGTCATCGGAGTCTGGTGGAGGATCAGAGAGTTCGGATGGTTCATCCGATGAAGGCTCAAGAATGCCGCCTGGCAACCCTCCTGAATCTTGGTTGCTTGACGGTGAAACCGAAGACAGCGTGTACAAAATCAAGCATTTGAGAAACATCTCAATCACCAAGTTGCCAACAGATGCAACATCTTGTAGAGAGTGGCGTGCTGCATTGCTTGCGTCGGTGTCGCGCATTGATCTCACTGCGCGTGATGTGTTGGTCAAGTGTACCTCTCATTGCATGGATGCCGGACGAGGTCGGACCT